GCGAGCTATGCTACAGTTATTACCAGTTTTTGCCATACAAATAGTGAATATAAAACACACTGAAATACGATTGTCAAAGTATATATAAGTATATGTTTGAACTTTGTTTTGAACGATTTTCAATAAAACATGTCTAAAAGAACAAACTCGTGTCACTGTAAGCTTATTAAAACTATACAAATCGCGCGCATTTGGTTTGAATTGGCATGCAGCAATTAAACTGAAAACACTACCCCATGAATACAATAAAACAGAAAACAAGATACCAACTAATGACCAAGTAAGAACTGTTTATTTATAAAACAATTCCAGTCAATGCAAAAACAACAACTTCGGTTTAGCAACAAAGCCGGACATCAGTTCTAAGCTTATTTCACTGAGTAATTTCAAACAATTAAAACAAGTTTTTACTAACCTCTAAAGCAGACGAAATTGACACGGACTAAAGCCAGACTGAACTTATTTTATCAAACAGTCCTTCAACCTTTTGACCATCCACAGCAACAGGAATCAAAGCAACTCGCCTCTCAGACAATTTCCTTATCGATTCATCTATCTGATATCCACTTGGCGAAAAATAAGTTCTTTTATCGATACATGAAAATTGTCTTTACTTAAAAGATGAATGTATAAAAAAGAAAAATCTTTTGAGAGTGTCAGCTCTAGAATCGACAACATTGACAAACGGGTCAAAGTTTCCCGCCATTGATCTTCACTCGGCTAAGACCCAAAAGAAGTGATGACGTCACATAAAAAAACGATAATATAGTCTGAAACGCAATGCATTGTGGGGTACTACTGTTTCCCTCCTCTGAGTCTGTGAGTCACTTTTTGGGTTAAAATACCTGTCTTTAAAGCGGCCAAAATTAACTTGATTCAAATACCTCCTTTTTCCCTACGTATGTTGGTTGCCATGTTGACAATAACAATAACACAGGAACAATAGCACAGGAAACCCAAACCGAGGTGAAACTTCATCGAGTCATAAAACAATGAAACGCAATTAGTTAAAAAGCAACGTTTTTATAACGTCAGGTTATGTTATAGACTGTATTTCAATTATATATAAACCTTAATTTCGAAGAGTGAAAACTAACGAAAGTTTTGAATCATTTTAATGTCGAACGTATCGACGCTCTCCGGTGTCACTTTCAAAAGTCCCATGAGGAGAAAGTTAGCAAAAGATCTTCGCCTTGACGGAGTCCGATTGTTCAAAGATGGCTTTATCTTTTGGATATAAAGCAACTCATGATTCATCTAATACATTCTGCTTAAGCATTTTTAACATAAGTATTTTAAAATTAACGCCAAATTCAAGTACCCCGGTGAGGCCTTGGAATACCAGACGGATGCACCTGACTTTGAAAAGCGCTAATTTTAAAATAACTAGACGATCAGCGATCGTTTACATGGGCTTCCTGTGGTATATCACAATCAGTAAATGATATTGAACCCTAATGAAATTAATATTACTATTAAAGACAACAGCAAAAAAAGTTTTCCTTTTATGAAAAATAATCAAACAAGCAATGTACTTAAAAATAGTAGAATTTAATAATATTGTGAAAGAAGTAATTTATCATTGACGAGCCGTTACTTTAAGAGTCACATCCTTGGCTGTATTAAACACAGATCGATAGTCTTTCATGTTCTTCGCTTAGAATACTTCCTATCCTCTGTTTTTCCTCAGTATAAATCTGTTGACATGTCTTAGATAAGTCCTTGGTGATTGTAGAGCCTGTACTAGTATAAGTTAGCTTTTGGTGAGCTAATGTTTGATAGATAATTCACGATCGGTAGATTCACGATATAAATTCGCCGTATCTCTCCAAATGCCCTTTTGAGCAATGCTCGAATTTTTTTAGTGTGGCTATGCCGCGAATGGTGTGTGGATTTGTAAAAGAATCTAGCCTATTTGTAGAAGCTAGATGACCTAGATTCGATATGTTCGATCTTAAAACTTTGCCGGCTTTACGAAGGTCCGAAGAAGCATGAAGCGACCTTTGAATCGTTGCTTAGAAACATGAATGACRGTAAGACAATAGAWGTCAAAAAWGAAAAGGTCCCGGATATAATTTGAAGCATACCACAGACGAACGACGGTAATTTAAGACATGGTCTTCCTTTGGAAGCCCATGTAATTAAAAAGTGTGCAAAATGAATTAGATGGTTCACAAGTTTCTGTATATTCGAAAGATAAAGCCTTACCTGAACACCCAACTGGACTCCTTCAAGGCAAAGATGTTTTACTAACTTTATCAACTTAGTTTTTCTCTTGAAAATGATGCTTTAGTTTTGCGTTAGTTTTTACTCTTCAAATTACAAACAAAGCAAAACTGTAGTCAAAATCCTGCTATCCTCCTATAAGTACCGCTGACCGTTGACCGCATGAACTGCGTCGGCGTTCGAAAGAAAGAGTTGTGTGATATACGATAAATTGTTTATTGTAAAAAATAGTTGTAACAACTTACTGATATTTTTGACGTTATTCCTTCGTTAGAGTAATAAAGTAATTACTGTAATAATGATTATATGTTATTTACCGTCATTATGGTTACTGGAAATAGAACCTTGTCCTGTAGACCACATGCCTTTTAATTGGTCATGACTACTCGACCATCTCGTCTCCTACTGATTGGAGATTATTTTTCTTACACAGAAACAGCGCCATTGAGATTGTTAAACAAAACAAAACCTGCTTCATCATTAGTGCAAGGTATTTTACAGATTTATTACAATGCTTCATGGGGTACAATATGCGATGGCGGATGGTCCTTGACTGCTACAAACATAGCTTGTAAACAGCTTGGCTACCATAGTGCAGCGACATTYAARTACTTGGGAMAGGGACCTGATCCAATTTGGCTGGATGGATTGAAATGCAATGGCAATGAATCGTTACTAGATCAGTGCCATCACCGAGGATGGGGTATCCATAACTGCACACACAGACAGGACGTTGGCATCATGTGTAATACAAGTAAGGAACTCTTAATTCTCATACTAGATGTTGAGTATTTTAATGAAACTTCTAACAGAAAGGGTCATTCAGAATCGACGAAAGTGCACTTCAAAGGGTTAGTTATTTTCTGGTGAAAGTGAAATACTTATCATCTGAAGTTTAAACTAAATGCAAGACTCAACTTTTGCACTAAACTACAACAAATAACTTTTATTTGTGAACTTTTAACGCTTTACATGCATGCAAACGCTAAGAAATGTAAAACAAATCAAACGTTCAGAGGCTTACACTTACTATAGTATGACGGAGTATGATTTCAACAAAATTGTAAATGTTTCGGCTTTCCTTTTATTTTCATTTCTTTATTAAAGAGACAATATACAATTCT